GACCCCTCCCCTGCCGGCGCTGCAGGACACACTGTCCCACCCCGAAGGTGGCACCGTGGGAGCTGCTGGTCACCAACCACCCCGTGGCCCCTCCAAGCGTGGGATGATCCCTCCTACCCTCCCCAATCCCCCTAAATTTCACGTAATCACAGAACTGCCCAAACTGGAAGGGATCCACAAGGATCATTGAGTCCAACTCCTGGCCCTGCAGGGACACCCCAACAATCCCACCCCATGCCTGAGAATGTTGTCCAAACACTCCTTGTACTCTGGCAGCCTTGGGGCTATGACCATTTCCCCCCCCCAGAACATCTGCATAAATACACCTAAAGTGAAAGATGAGCCACCAGTGTGTTCCAAACCTCCATTTTCTCACCAGCTCGGCCTAAGCTGAACATGCTGTAACTTTAATTTTCTTAAAAGGAAAACACTCTGCAAACATAAGTTGCTGAACATCTTAGGTAAATGTACCAATTAGCAACTACCATGTATATCCACATAAACATTAACTACCATCTATTCAACACATTCCATAACCCCAAAGATAATAACGATTTCCTTTTGATCCATAAAAACATCTCTCTGCTCAATCAACGCTTCGCGGCGGCTCTGACGTACGCCCTGGGACTAAATTAGTTTTGAAATCTTTAGCTCTAATTAAATAACATTATTTCTTTTGTCTGGGCTCCGGCAACTTTGACAACAGGAGGAGGGAGCCCGGGCGAAGGAGGGGCTGTCGGAGAGCAAGGCAACGTTCCCGCTCTCCGGCTCATTCCCGGGATTCTTTCGTGTGTGGGCACACGTCAGAGCTCGGAGCTGCTGCCAGGGGTTGATTGAGCAGAAGGAGGGATCAAAGGAAAATCATCATTATGGTGGGGGTCAGGGAAGGAAGGGATGGCAGCTGTGTAAGTTCAGGGGTAGGGAGTGTTGGAGAGTTGTGGAGAGAGAAAAACAGACACGGGGGAAAATGCAACCCCAAAATTAGAACTTGTTTTCGTGGGGAGGTGCAGGCTCTGGTGAGGTGAACCTTCAACCACCACCAGTACCTTAATTTACTTCTTTTGGCTGCTTAAAACTAATTAGTGCTGATCTGACTAAAAGCACTGAAAATCTTGCATCTTTTTAAAAGCTTTTCTTTTTCCCTTGGAAATTACCCAAGGGAAAAAAAAAAAAAAAAACCAAACCAACCAACAGCAAAAAAAAAACCAAATCCAAACTTCAATTTAAAGAAACTTCAGTATGCAAATGGTTTCAACTTTGAGGGTTGAATAATCAGGATGGATCTGGGAGCAGCAGTACAGGCTGGGTTTTGTCCAAGCTTTTCAAGAAAAATCCCATTTTCATTAAGTTCTCGGAAGCCTCGTGCGTTCCGGGAAGCCTCGCTGACGCAGCCCTTTCCCAGCACTCCTGGGAGGAGACCCCCCTGCACCAGCTGCCAGCAGGGCCCTCTGGATCTGCCAGAGCTCCTCTCCCATCTCCCACCCATAAAGAGTCTTTATAAGATTTTGGGAGCCACTCCTAGTTTGCAATCCCATGCAACACCCTCCTGTGCTGCTCCTGGGAAGGATTAATTACTGAGAAATGCAGGATGATCGAATATTAATAACAAAGAGAGGATGAAAATACTGCAGTAGTGAGGAACCAGCCTTTCCTCCAGTGGTGGATTCATCCTGGTCCTGCTGCAGAGCAGTGCTGCAGGAAGGGCATCATTGTGATGACACTGATACTCTACATATCCTTAAATTTATGGACATGCACTCTCCAGCTGGCGTGTAAATTCACAGAGCTGAAGTGCCAAACACTTGGTGCCTCTGTTACTCATCCCAGGGTTGCTGTGCTCCATCCCTGAAGTGCTTCACTCCCTGAACAGCTTCCCTTGCTCCCATTCTCAGGATCGAGCTGCACCCCCACTGCTCTCACCATGGATTAATTTCCACGAATTCATTCCCATTTCCTCTTGTTGAGCAACAACACCTTCTGTCCCAAAGCCTCCTGGGGTGACCACAAGGACAAAAATCCCCCCTGGAGTGCCGGGGAGACTCACCCAGGACGGTCAGCCGGGCAGGTCGGGATCGGATGGCAGCCTGGATGGCCTGGCACTCGTACACGGCGTCATCCTGGAGATCAGCCCTCAGGATTTTCAGGTGGTGCTGTCCTGACAGATGGTCTCCTACCACCAGGTAGCGCGGGTAACCTGCCGGGCACAGCGCACGGGTCAGGAGATGGAGCGACGAGCCCAAGGATGGAGAGCACAGACCCAGCACCCCCCAGACATTCCCAGGAGCCAGGCAGCTTCCTCCCCTCCTTGGCAGCCAGCTCCAAGAGAGAGAGAGAGAGAACCCTTCCAAATTTGGGAAGGAGACTGCACATTTACCCTACAGGTTCAAAAGAGAAGTGCTGATGGAGGAGCATTAACTGAAATCCTCAGGAAACATGGAATCACACAGTGTTAAGGGTTGGAATAGAACTTAAAGATGATCTACTCCCAACCCTCCTATGGGCAGGGACACCTCCCACTAGACCAGGTTACTCAAGGATTTATCCAACCTGGCCTTGAACACTGCCAGGATTGGAGCATCCATGACCTCTGTGGGCAAGGAAAATGGATGAGCCCTTCCATGGGAAACCCACCACCTCTGGCTCCTCTGCGACCTGTCACAGCATTCCTTCAGCTCCTGAAGTCAGCTGTGGTGAAACCCTGGAATAATTCCATGATTGGGTCTGCTCAAAGCTGGGTCTGGGGGCACTGATAGCCCTGCTCAGCCTGGCTGGGCACACGAGGAGCAGCAGGGGAGGAAGGCTGCCCTCAGCCTGGCACACTGTGTGTGACACAGCCAGCCTGGCACACCCCATGTGACACAGCCAGCCTGGCACACCCCATGTGACACAGCCAGCCTGGCACACGCTCGGGCCCTTGTTGTTTCCCAAGTTATCATCAGCAGGATTTGCTCTCCTGAACCGTGAGAAATACAAGTGATGGGTTTGTTTGTATTTTGCTAATTAGACACTGGCTGAGCTGGCATCACACGAGCTGGCAGCTCCTCTGGCTTCCAGCAGCCCCAGCTCTGTTAATTGTGGAAGTCATTCCCATCAGCTCCCTACTCCACTGGAGCTGTTGTTACCCAGTCGAGCTGCAAGGTCTTGCATGGAGAGCTCAGCTCTCTGATGGATGTGAAAGCTGTGGCTTTGAAAAACAGGAGAAGAGGGGGCTGCTCACTCGGGCAAGGCTGTAAATGAGCAATTACATGTATTAATAAAAAAGAGAGGGGAAGAAGCAGCAGGCATTGCACTTCAGGGGTCCCTGGAGACCAGAACACACAGAGCCTCCCCTGGTTTCTGAACGCTGCTGCTGGGCTTGGGGAGAACTCTCCCAGATCTCCCAGAAGTTGAGCAGAGGGAACATCACCACCCTCTGCAGCACTCGGGGGAACGAGGCTGCAGATCCTGAAGGGCTCCCAGCAAACACTCTGCCTTATTCATGTGAAATATTTCCCTCACAAATCAGTGTTTTCCAGCAAAATGCATAGAATAACCTGCGTAACTTCCTCAGTATTGCACCAGTCTTCACCAGCTGCAGCTAACCCTCAATCCCAATGCAGGCATGGGATTAAATAATGAGAATTCTGAGGAATTAGTTACCAAATTAAAGTTACCAAACTTTAATTTGACAAACACAGAGCTTAAGGAAGCCACAAATACTTGTGGGCTGCAAGGAAAACATTTATCCAAAGCAAACAGAGAATTGTGAGTCCCTTCCAGCTCAGGATATTCTATTCTATAATTCTTTTTATTTTCGAGGATATCAAAACTGGCACTTCCAACATTTACAAAACCTTTCATCCCGCATTTTGGTCCAGAAGTCAAAGAAACCAGAGCAGGGCTTTCCAAAGGGTCAGGTGACACCTGTGGGAATCAATAGTTTTGTTTCAAAGAAGTGCCAATGAAGGAGTGTTAACTGAAAT